CTACCCAATCAATCTGTTATGTAAAAGAGTTCCTGCGGGGTGTGAAAGCTGGATAGAAAGTGGAAGATTAGGAATGTCATGGAGGGGAAAGCCAAGAGATGAACATTGTTGCTTAAGGCAGATTAGTCTGAAATATTTTTATTACCTGCATACAACCCACATCACAACACGAACTCCACGTTTATGGCTCTTCCAGTGTCGCAACCTGCAAACATGCTGGAGTTCTGCAGCAGTGCCGGTGCTGTCTGAAAGGAAACCTAGTATAAAAAAAAGTGAGTGATTCTTATAGAGCCAGGTGATAAAACGATAAAAATAATTATCGTGCAAAAACTTTCCAAGATGGCATTACTAAACAAGGTCAATATAAACTGCATGGAGCTTATCCAAATCCATGTTTTTTTTTTTTTACTGACAACACTGAAGGCCAATGACAGTGAGAATAGTCAGCACATGTGCTAACGTTTGGGCTGCTACACACTACAGTATATTAGGAATTCGAGTGAGATAAAAGAGAAAATGAGAACAAAGACTGTTATTGAAAAATCAAACGACTTTGTTACCAAATATGACACTGCAGTGGATACAACCTGATACTCAAAAGGATTAGGACACTATTGAGGAATTAATGTGGCGATATTTTGGCTATTTAAAGTCTGACAAAGAAGCAGAGCAGTATACACTGTAAACTGTGTTGAAAACATGTTTCCACAATGGCGGCTTACACACATTACAAGACACGATGTCGGTAAACATGGTCCAAAATGTCATATTTTAAGCAGCTGAGTGCAAAGCGCACACCTGGCCCATTTATGAGCCTCACTACCCAGTACTGCACTTCATGTGGCCAACAAGTTGAAAGAGTTTGTCTATATACTACAACAGTATTTATTTAAAATACAGTTACAGTGTTGCAGTACATTTATCATGTTCAGCTTATGACAAACTCATGAAGTTCATTTTGGTTTAAATATATATATCGTGATTATATATCAATATTGACTGATGTGAGGAGGGAAAATCACCAAGATTTTTTTTCTCCATTTTTACCCAGTCTTGGATCATTATATGAGAGACTATTACAGGCATATATATTGTAAATAATCAGAGGATACTGAATTACACAGTGGCCTTTCTTCTCCAGGTATTTGACAAATTGAATGACATTGACACACAAAAGCTGTTTGCCTCTGAAAATAGCTTTTTATATGTTGGGACTTGTACAGCCATTCCTGAGTGGCTAATATATGAGCACAGGAGGAGCGTGCTGCTGACTCCATTCACTGTTTTCACTGCCTTCAGCTACAAGTGTCTTTTGGGTTCTTTGATCTCAAATCACTGTGGGCCTTCAGCTGAACCATCCCCAATTTTGCCTAAAAATATTATGTTCCCATTTTTGGACTTCTATATAATGATTTTTTTATTTCAAATACTTTTCGAAATACTTTTGTCAAACTACTTGCAGCAATTTTCTTGTTGTTTTTGTTTGAACATGAATATCTCAAAAACTAAAGATACAAACCTGAAATTTTCAGTGCCCTTTCTTACCATCAAAATGAATCAATAGCTGTGAAATTGGGATAGACGGATCAAAAAATGTCTCAGTATTGAGGACTAAAAAAAAACAAAACGTAAGCAGTCTTATAAAGCCCCGTATTTGACCGCAAACTCATTAGAATTAAACATTAAAAAGATGTTAAAACACAATTGGTGACAATTTCTGAATAGTATATAGTTGAATTTCACAATAATGCAAAACAAAACGTACTGAATACATTTTTACATGAAATTCTTAGTCAAAAAAAAAGAAGAAAATGCTATTTTCTTCATTACACTTGTTCAAGCTGTGGACCATAAAATGTTTATGCAAATCAGAGATGGTCAAACTGAAAATAGTTTATTATTTGAGATTGAAGGACCATCTTAGAATCTGTCAGGTTACTGTAAAGTCATCTCTAATCTAACCAGTATGTGATCACTCGTGGTGAGCAGTAAGCTGCAGGAACACCTGACCAGAATTTGGCTGACGGGTTATTGTACGCGGATGAGCACCAGCTCATTCATTACTTTGAGTTTATTTGCAGACTTTTATTGCCACAAGCTGAAATACAGATTTAAACCTTTTCTCACAGATGAGGTGTTTAGCACTGCAAGCAGAATTGGTCTATAAATGGCGCTGTGTCATTCACATATAAGCCACTTTGAATTTTATGATCCTGCCCCTCGCACCCAGTCTCTGAGTGAGAGAGCTGATTTCTGATTGAGACTCGAGCTCAGAGACATATGTTATAACTTGACTATGTACACTTGTAATTTGTGCATGGCTGTCTGTTAATGCATGCACTGGATTAATAGACTTGAGCTATGGTAGAAGTGATGCATAAATATTACTGGATTCACACTGATAAGATTGCAGGTGTGCCAGCGATGGAAAAGTAACAGATTTCACTGATTCACATTCATATAGTATGCGTTTAATGGAAAGGAGTTTTAATAGCTTTTAGACAATGCTTACCCCATACCTTAGTAATAAAAACCCTGTTAATTCTGTGCTTTTCAAAGATTAGCTAGGGAATAGAAATCAGAACTGAATGGGTTACGTTTGGGTTGTTCTTCTCATGCTGTTTGCTTGTTCTCATTTTACACAGGAATAAGTGAACCACTGTGCCATTCTCTCTGGCAGTAGCCCCTGTTTCCTTTGTGCCCTGTGGTAATCTTGTCCCAAAAAACATCCAATAAGCCCTCTATCCCCAGCTCCTAAAATGACCTGCAATCCTTCAGTGCAACTCTGAGCTCTTAAAGCCCCTCATTTAATCTCCCATCCAATAAACTTTCGAGACCAGCATACCCATTACAGGTTGCATGAGGTCAGCGATGTTTGCACCAATGGCTGCCCTTGTAAATAACATAAAGCAGCAGTTCTGACTAGTTCTGCTTGTGTTGTTTTGGAATCTTCTATGTTCCAAAGAACAACAGTTTAATCCTCATATTTTTATTTATCTTCTTGTATGATGGCCATTTTTAATCACAGTGCTGATAAGAGTGGAGCTCAAAGGATCAATCGAAATTACTTCCTTTCAAGATTAACTGTAATCACTGTAGTTTTTAACCTAACCTCTTCTTCTGTATGCTAATGAGCATTTCCATTCATTAAGAGAGTTTATAAGGATGTATAGATGGCTCATTCCATTCCTTTTCTATCACTGCTTCCTTTCTTAATGCTCTTAGTTTGTGGGCTACATGTCTTGGGTCAGCAAGGGCAAAGCTTAGTTTTGATGGCAGCGATTCAGCCTTCGCTTGAACAATTGACAATTAAACAAGAATACTGAGGTAGGAGAGAGGGAAGGGGAAAAAATGAAAGGAAGGCAAAACAATTCATTGCATTGTGTTGTTGGCACATGGGCAGAGCGGTTTAGGCTGGTTTACAGAAAAGGAAAGGCTAAAAAGAGGCAGAGGGCAAGAGGTGCAGCCACTGAAATGATCATTGAAAGATGATGTCCCGTCAATGCACAAGGCCCTGAATCAAACACGCACTGTACTTGGCAGTTCGTCCCACACACACACGTGGCAATGTTGAAGAAGGAAAAGAGTGGGGAGAGCAGTGAGCGCTGTGTGAAAAAGGTAAGGAGAATGGATGAGAAGTGGATTAGTCTGATTTATGACGTGTTATTTATTGAGATTAAAATGATATTGAGAGTATCGGTGCTTGGGTGGAATTGAAGTGGAAGGAGAAATGCTCAGCTAATCAGCTAGCATCCTAACCAGATAATTTGTGATGAGTTTTAACTATTTAACTTGCCCAGCTGCATGTGCAGTTTGGCTTTCTGAGAGCTTAAATGCTGCATTGCTTTCCTTTCCATGCCTGTTTATTAAGGTGCACATTCTCCAGGCTGAATCACCAGGGTTTGGGCTCTACTTAAGAAATGCCTCAGAGATCACAAAGCAAAAAATGGGGGAAATGTGTATATTGCTGATGATTTCAGATCGTAGAGGTGACTTTTGAGTGAACAGCAGCTCTCGCTCATGAAATTTACCGAATGTCTCTACACATTATGAGAATAAATAAGTCAATACATACAAAGCCTCCTGGTATTTTATTCGTACATGCACACACACACACACACACACACATACTCAAGAACCTGAAAATTTTCAAGGACATCTTTTTGTGAGGATGAAAATTATTTAAAAATGAGTACATGCTCAAAGAACTGATGCTCTTTCAGCTGCTTTTTTTTTTTTTTTTTTTTTGCCTTGTGCAACATCCATTAGACATCCATGTGGCAATGTAAAAGCCTTTCTTTCTATGAATTTATGGACACCATTATTGCTCATTTAATAAAAGCAACCTGACTAATAAAAATAGGTTTTAATGCATATACACACACACACACTGGCAGTTTTTGTTCTTGGTCGTGTGGCTTTATTGTAGGAATAAGTCAGCCATTCATGTGCTGTAATATTATCACTGGATGAATTATGATGCACCAAGTCATTGGCTTTGATGCAACACTGAAAGATAGGCTCATGGTCAGTTTAGTGTCCTGAAAGCGGCAAATAGCCAAACACATCCCGCTCATTTTCACAGAACCAGAATGAACTGGTGCACCTCGCGTGGCCTTGTCACTGCTTGATAATAGCCTCATTGTCTCTTTTATCTTTCAGAGTCAGAGTGAACTCAAAGGCAGTCTCCCTCCTCAGAGACTATAGTGAACTTGTTCTCTCTCTCCGTTTATTGCCTGTCTTATTTATCTATTTTATTGATCTTCTCTTATCTGTAAAACATTTTTCACTCAGGATAGCATTCTCTTAATCACGAGCTTAACATGAACCTAGAGTAACCTGAGCTAAAAAGCGATCAGTTTATTAAAGATGCAAAGTTTTCTTTTCCTGGCTTTCAAATTGCTTTGTGAGTCCTGTTTGTGAATAGTTTTATTTAAATACATTTTTCAAAGCTCAATTCAGATTGCCTGAATGTTTCTGCTCTCCTTCTCCACCAACAGATCCAGTTTGCAGACCAGAAACAGGAGTTCAACAAGCGTCCCTCCAAGATCGGACGGCGCTCTCTGTCCCGCTCCATCTCCCAGTCCTCCACAGACAGCTACAGCTCAGGTAAACAGACAGATTTTATGTTTGGGTGACTCATCCTGATTATGATAGCTATTATTTTTGGTGTCAGTGTGCTCACACTAATGTCTTGTCATCGACTCAAGTAACATTATTCTTACCTGCTCAGCTCCACTTTTCTCAGTTTGTGGCCTCATGAAACAAAGAGCACAGGAGTGAGACTTGAAAGTTGGTAGCATGGTAGAGGCTCTCGCACTGAGCCAAATAAAGTCGGCCTTGTTGGGAAGTTGCGAGCAGTGGTGGAAGAAACGCTGAACAAAATATAGCAGGGCCGTGCAAGCCTTGTTGGCACAGACATCTACAGACTAAAGCAGTGTCTTTACAGCACAAAGTAAATAGACTAAAATGACCTGTTTGTTTAAGTATATAGTGCAGACTTCATCACAGTGTCTCTCTTTCGCCATACCTGCATTCCTGTCTTAAACTATAGCCTGTTACTCAATCACTTTACCTTGCTGCTTATCTGATATTCCAGGGGGATGTTAAATTTTCCATTGAGTTCCACCTGGATGAATGGTTGACTGGACTTATCTACCACTTCTGTCCTTGTGTTTCTAGCACTCTTTCTCACACTCTGACCCTGGGTTTATGTGAAACTGTGGGCCCTGTGTTAGAGGATTAGCAGGTGCTGAAGCATTGGGTGTGGCTGAAACCAAATAGGATGGGAGAGCCAAACCACCGCCCTATTGGTGATTAACTGGAAAGCTGGTAAAGATAAATATGCCAATAGTCTAAAAAGAGTTTTAGCTGGCAGCTAGTATCAGCAACTGTAAGGTGTAGTTTTATGTCTTACAATACAAGTTTCATTGTATGTATAGATAAGGGGTTTCTTTGTTTTGTAAATTTGGTTTAAGTATGCATTGTCATGATGTTATGATTTTCTTTGGGAGTAACCAGGAGAGACAGGCTGAGTGATTTGGAGACAATACACTCTGTATGATTAGTTTGAGTTCAAGCTGCAACGATTTATCGAGTAACTTGGAAAAACGTGGTTGTTTAAAAAATGTTTTTTTAATCTTTTGCTTTCTTTCATCCAGAATTAATTTAACGAATAAAAGCACATAAGGTGGTTAAGGTTAGGAGTAAACGAGTCACACTGATGATGTAGAGGTCTCAAATACTCATCACTAATATAACTGATAGCTGTAGCCATAGTTTGAGTAGATTGATGCAACACTCCTGTATATTTGGAAATGGTTAACATGGCTCTGCTCAAATACCACAGAAAACAAGAAGGGACAAGGGAGCAAAGGTTCTTTATAAATCGGTCACTATAATCCTGGCTTTCCTTTCCTTCTCAGTTATCAGTCGTTTTTAAATGCGATATTGCATAAGCCACTTGGACTCGGGCTCTTTTGATGTCCTGCTGTGTGTCAGAGTCACGGGCCACATAACTTTAAACGACACCATTTAACATGATGAATTAATCTGCATGATGGCGCTAGGACAGACAGATGGATGGCAAACGGACACATGGACTGTCAGTCAGTATTAGTGCATGTGCATAATGGATCCCTCAGGTCAGGGTTGCTAAAAAAGAAGAAAAGCCCCTGCATCAGTACTTTTATTCAGAGAAGATGAGGCGTTTCGGCTCTGTAACTTCCCACTGGCACATTTGCAGACAGCTCTGTGTTTTCATAGGCGCTTGTTGGGGTCAGCTGAGAAGGCGACATTGTGTTTCTTTCCCTTTCTTTCTTCCTGTTTGAGACATTAAGTTGTCTTAAAAAAAAAATCAGCTCTGAATTTCATTTTTAGCTCCAAACTGCACACTTGTGCACTTTTCTCTGGTGTGTGATTTGGATCTATCCCAGTCTCCTACCACTAAATCATACCTTCTTTTTTCTTTCTTTTCACTTTGTTTTTTTTTTCTTCTCCAGCACAGCGCTTTATCTCCCCTCCTAACCAGCTCAAGAGTCCCCAGGAACCTCTCGCTCCTGCCTCGGGCTTTCACATCACCACTTAAAAAAATGATCTGCATTTTCTTCAAGATATTGAGATAATGAGGAGTGCACTTAGTCTGCTTTTATTTCATTCAGCAGGCGTCTCTGTCACACATCTTTGGATCCCTGTGTTAACACCTTAATCACTATGAACTCCTTGACATGTTTCAGACTCCAGTACAGAATCCTTGTGCTGCTTTTTCCCCCCCACTCTTCCTCCTCGGCTGATTCCCTGTCTTTCCTCATAATTCCCTCACTGGAGTGATTCTGATTTCTCTGATGGCTCCCACAGTACAGAGACTACAGCAAGCACCAGTCACACAGCTTCCCCCGAACCACTTTAGTTTAGGATCCTTTGATTAGGGTTCTTTTTAAAGCTGGTGGGCCTAGTCTGTAAAGCAGAACCAACACATTTACAGTACATTGTAAATAATGTCATGACAGTACAGGTTCCAGGTAAAGTTAACATGTAGCTGAAGTTTATAGCCACTGTAAAGCAGATCGAGGCTAAGGCTTCTTAGTTTGGATGTTTTTAAGCTTTTTTAGATTTTGTGTTTCTTGAGAAGAATTTCATCATGCAAAACCTTTTTCCCCTCACCTGGTTTTGTCCCAACGTGTTTTGGAAGTAGGACGGAAGGGTATTTTTTTTTTTTTTTTTCATTGATAGATGATTTGTTTTTCAGTTTTGGGCATTTAGATTGTTTTTTGTTTTTTTTTGTTTGTTTTTTTTATTATTATTTCAAATCAACTCACTAATCATGTTTTACTTCATCAGCTTTTACCTGATTTAGGCACTCTGCATAGAATTTCATAGATTTTCCCAAAGAAGGCCAGGTTAAAAAAAAATCTTTGGAACTTTCTCTAAGGATATCATTTACATGTACAGCCAAAAACACAGCACAGACATTGTCTTGAATTCATGGGTGTTACCCCCGGACATGAGGTGACACTATTGTTAATCAATATCGATTGTTTGTAATGAACTAAAACTTGAAGAATTGGATTCGGGATATCCTCTTACACCCTCAAACCTTTGTTTTCCTGTCTGCACTTAAAGGCGTGTGTGATGTTGGCATCATGCACCATTTGTACTCATGGAGGAGTACACCCTGTGCACCTCCATGTATAGAAATGTACAGTACATTTGAAACCACACAATAATGCAAAGTGCAGACTGTGCATATGACTGTTTATATCACAGGTCCAGTGATACTACTCAAACATGTTTTCTTTTTATATCCAAGTGTAAATACTTAAGTCCAATAACATCCTGTGTTTACTTTCTGCTTCAGTCAGAGGTGATAAAGCTGCTAGTTTTGCTCTTAGTGGGAAAAGTTTGGCTGGCAGCTCTATGATAAATTAAAGCCTGTGGTGCCTGAAATCTGTAGGCTAACAAATTCAAGTTGCACATTTGAGTTTAATGTATTCTGATGAAACCAGAGGCTGAGAGAATCCATGTTTAGGTACAGAATACATTCAGTGTATTCTGTACTTAAACATGGATTCACAGTTTACAACTTTTCTTTTTGTTTTGTTTTTGGTTACAGCGGCAATATTTTGCCTCCTATGTGATGTGTTGACATGCTGACAATGCCTGTGTGTGTTTGTTTGCAGCGGCATCATACACGGACAGCTCTGATGACGAGACATCTCCTCGTGACAAACAGCAGAAAAACTCCAAGGGCAACGGCGACTTCTGCATCAAAAACATCAAACAGGCCGACTTCGGGCGCAGAGAGATCGAGATAGCTGAGCAAGGTGAACCAGCGGGCAGTAGCTTTAAAAACTGGGAACTGAGCTAAATACCAAACTGCTGTTATGACCACCATTTAAAATCAAACTCAATGTATTTCATTGACATTACTCTCTAATTACCTAGCAGAGAGCCTCGCTCATCGAGCTACTCCACCGCACGAGGCGATGGATTAGTTTTGAAGTATTAGGAGGATTAAATGATGGGAATTCCTTAATCATCCAGATCAATCCTGTATATCCACTTATGTGTATTTGTGTGTATGTGTGTGTTTCCTTTTCTTTCAGAGATGCCAGCACTGATGGCTCTGAGGAAGCGAGCCCAGGGGGAAAAACCCCTCGCTGGTGCCAAGATTGTGGGCTGCACCCACATCACTGCCCAGACTGCTGTAAGTAGTAGCAGTGCAAAACACTCACACACACGTGTTTATTTTTCTCTTCTTCCACGACGAAAACTCAAACTTGACCCTCGTCTTCTCCCAAGGTGCTGATGGAGACTCTGTCAGCTCTGGGCGCTCAGTGCAGATGGGCAGCATGCAACATCTACTCCACCCAGAATGAGGTGGCAGCTGCCCTGGCAGAGGGAGGTGAGGCTCAGTGTTCCCATGTGGTGACACCTGACCTTTTCTTCTCTCTTTTTTGCCGCCTAAAATATTAATGCGCTCGCTTTTCCCATCATGCTCACATCCATTGTTATTCATACACTCGTATGCAATATGTATTCAACGCTTCCTCTCTTTGTAGGTTTCAGTGTATTTGCGTGGAAGGGAGAATCAGAGGACGACTTCTGGTGGTGCATCGACCGCTGTGTCAATGTGGAAGGCTGGCAGCCCAACATGGTAGCACACCTACATATCTAAATAAAGCTTATTACAGAAAAGTTGCCTCTGTGGTTTTTACATCAAACATCAATCATTGGTAGGCCATTCATCCGTTGTGTAGTAGGTTTTTAAATGTATTTTTACGTGATGATTGTCTACCACTGTGGCTAGAAGTGAAGAAAGGGGCATTCATTATATCAGATAATTTGTTCTGCATATTCAAACATAGAAAACTTATCTTTCTGATTTCTCGTCAGATCTTGGATGACGGTGGTGACCTGACTCACTGGATTTATAAAAAATATCCCAGCATGTTCAAGAAGATCAAGGGCATAGTAGAGGAGAGCGTTACTGGTGTGCACAGGTAGGACGTGGTGTCTTTTTAGTTGAGTTTTGTGTGTGTGTGTGTGTGTGTGTGTGTGTGTGTGTGTGTGTGTGTGTGTGTGTGTGTCATAAACGTCGATTGATCCGTTCTGATTCAACACACGAGATCCCTTTATGGTCCACTGGTTGTCCGTTCTGTATGTATACTGAAGTCAAATCAGGTGTTTGTACATGTTGTGGGGAGATGTGATTCTGACCAATTCACACAACGTTTAAGCCGACTTGGAGCAAGGAGTGTTCGGTCACACACAGGAGAACCATAGCCTGAGAGTGTCTGCACGTTTTCCTGAGTGGATTCAGAGGAAAACCGTCCAGCTTGTAGAGCAGGACGGTTTGAGAGCCTGCACCGCTCTCTGTTACTAAGGAAATATAGAAATGAAGACATCAATAGAATCGTATTCATCAGTTCCCCTTATTAATTCTGGGTCAGTCCCCTCTGAGTTTGGAAAAGGAGGCCTGCACAGGTTTTCAGAGTCGACGGTTGACATTAGAAAAAAGGCTTGCATTTGTTTTGCACGTGCAAACACTCCCTGTTTAGCCAAAATAGGGTTGATCCCAAAAAACTGGATTCAGAGGAATTGATGAGGTTTTTGATTTTAGCTCGTTTTCACAGGAGAATGTTGTGCAAGAAGCCTTCCTTGCATCTTTGTTGCATGCAAAGACTCCCCATCTGTCGGTGGGCTTCTCTGCGCCAGCAGCCGCAGCAGCAGGTTGCCCTGGGTTCTGGCTTCAGCTTCACCGGGGAAAGGATGGTGCCTGCAGGCAGCTCTATAGTCGTCCTATAGAGAGAGAAAAAACGTCCGAACAACCTGCTCTCACTAGTTTGGCATGCTGGGGTTTTGTGCTTACATGTGGTCTGTGTGATAATATTTAATGCTGATCTTGTTTGTTTGGTGTTTTGTTTTTTAAATCACAGCTATGAGAAATATGCATTCATGCTGTGTAAGCATGAATGCGCTAACCAGCTAGCCCATTATTAGTGCAGTCGTCTTGGAGATGCATGTCAATGAATTTTAGGGCTGAGCTTGTGATTGAGCCCCAGTGGGAGGGGGTTATTTGTTTAGATGAGGAGTACAGCATCTACCTCCAGATGAATGAAACATTCCACCTTTAGGTAGATAAAACCAGGTGCTGTAAATGTGTCTGTTAATGTGCTGGTTTGTGTATTTATTTCTCACTGAAGAAGTGTTTACATAATCTGTGGTGTGCCAACATCACCATCTAGTGGTGAATATGTTCTCCACTGTATATTTGTGGCATGGTAGCAAAATTTCAACTTCATTTGCGCAAATAGAAGCACATCAGTTAAATCTAAATGATAAAACAAATCCTTTCAAAGATTTAAGCAGCAGCTTCTCCTGTCAGGATTAATTTGCCACCTTTCTTCCAGTCATTGAATTAAGAGACATGATTGTATTCTGATGTAAAGTTTAAATGTTTTTTGGTGTGTGTTTGTGTGTGCAGGTTATATCAGCTGTCCAAGGCCGGGAAACTCTGCGTTCCAGCCATGAATGTCAACGATTCAGTCACCAAGCAGAAATTTGACAACCTGTACTGCTGCAGAGAGTCCATCTTAGACGGGTAGGAAATGCTCTCCTGTTGAACCTTGTTAGAATTATAAAACAGGCCAAGTTTTTTGTTTCTAATAACATGCATTGCTGCAAGGTGTATACACCCGCATCCACTCTGCTCCAAACAGTGTGAATAAATATTAGGTCGCCTGTGTGTTATAACAGTGTTTCTGTCCTCAGCCTGAAGAGGACTACTGACGTCATGTTTGGAGGCAAACAGGTGGTGGTGTGTGGATATGGAGAGGTAAGGCCACAGTCCTCGTCACACACCTTTCTTGTTCACACAGTGATGCAAACACTGAAGCCTTGTCCTGTCTCCTGTGAGTTTGCTTATGCACATGAACAGATTTCAATGTAGCACGACAAGTTAGATAATTGTTGTTGGCCTTTTTGAGGCATCTAAGTAAGGATGGGGTTTTGCTAAGGCCGTGGCAATTAAATTTGTAAAAGGCTGGCTTGAACTTGATTAATACAGAACAAGCCACCAGAGAGTTTTGTGCTAATAGAACATCCAAGTGATGGTAGCAGAGGCCAGCTGCTGTGGATTTTTTTTTTTTTTTTAAAAAGTACATAAATTTCTTTATACCTTTTCTTTCTTTCTTTCTTTCTTTCTTTCTTTCTTTCTTTCTTTCTTTCTTTTTTTTTCTTTTTCTTTGCTTTGGGTTTAAATTAAAACCTAACGGGGCTAATGTGTCAGTGTACAGTAGGAGGTCTTTTCTTTGAACCCAAGTGCTTAACTTACTGAGACACGATTGAATGAATTCTAAGTGCGCCTTGTGGTCAACGCTGTGTACCGTAGTTGCTATTAAACTGGAACACGCTTCAAAACATAGCCCTTAGTTTTGACCTTTTTGTGTGTAACAGAGGACTTCGAGTAAAATTAAAATGTATGAGGTTTTAAAATGGTAAAAAGATTACTTCAAATTACTCCTATGTTAGTGCTTTGTCGTGGCATAAGTAATCTGTCCTCTTCAGAGGATTTGGGGTCAAATTGTGGCCTGCATACTGACAAATGCAACCCAGTCAAGTAGGACGTACTGGTATTTATTTAATATAATATATATTACTACTGAGTCACACTAAATGGACAGCAGTGCTACAAAATAGGTGGTTTGGTCCTTGTTGCTTCCACGTGGCTCCTATTGTGTGACTGGTCGATTAAGAAACACGTCGTCTTCAGTTCTTTTTCTAAATAGTGAAATAGTGTGCACACTTAACACACTACATTCACTCAAACAGAAGCATCATGGACAGTTTCTGCATGTGATATGGGTTTATGTCCTTTGTGTTAACTCCATTTGTACTTTTTTTCTCTCCTCAGGTTGGAAAAGGCTGCTGCGCTGCCCTCAAAGCAATGGGCTCCATCGTCTACGTCACAGAGATCGACCCCATCTGTGCCTTGCAGGCCTGGTGAGACTTCTTCAGCTCTTGTTCTTCCTTTGTTGCCGTTGATGCTGCATTCATTTTACACACTTTCTTTAACCAACCGTAGCATGGACGGCTTCAGGCTGGTGAAACTCACCGAAGTCATCAGACAAGTGGATATCGTCATTACCTGCACAGGTTGGTTCAGCCGCTGTCCTTACCTGACAAGAAGAATCACAATGCAGAGAGAAATCCAGTTTAGATGTTGCATGTTAGGAGGATACAAAACATAAAGCAGTCCCTGGTATCATTCATTCAGGGTGCCTAAATGGATAATAAGTCCTTGTAATCAGTCTGCAGCAGCTACTAATAAAGTTCTTAACTCGGCAGCCAGCAAGTTGAGCGCTTGAAGCAGAGAATTACTCGCTCTCTCAGCTTCATTAGTCGGTGCTGCTGGCAGGCGAGCTGCAGAGGTCTGTCCTTAGGTGGAAATGGCAAAGATAACAGCAAAGATAATAAAAGGATTTGTGGCCTCAATAAAGTTCAAGAGTGTTGTGAAATAAAAGAAACAAATATATTAAAACACGCTGTCATAACTCTTATCTCACACATACACACAGCAGTCTCTTTGTTTGGTTTTTATTCACCTCTATCACGTCTGTTTTTTATTGCTTAGTAAAAGATTTTAGCTTGTTTTGATCTAAATAGATAAATACAAAACCATTTAAAATGCTCTATGTAGACAGGTGAGACTCTAAACTAAATTACATTCCCTAATTAACTTTGTTCAAGTCCTGCGATAAGTAATTAAATCATGCGCGATAAGGGCAATCCTCCTTCTTTTCCCCCCAGTACATAGATTTCAGAAAACCTGTTCAGTCCCTTTACAGCGTCGTATTTGATTAAAACCTCACGTACAGCCGAGCCTCTTTCCTTCCTCTGGAGATTTTTGCTTCCTCAACGTTTCTCTCTGTTCTTTGTGTCCTCTCCCCTCATCAGGCAATAAGAACGTTGTGGTGAGAGAGAACCTCGACCGCATGAAGAACGGCTGCATCGTCTGCAACATGGGACATTCCAACACTGAGATCGATGTGGTCAGTTGCCAGTTTGCACGAGGTCTAAATTGTAGTCATCTCATCAGATTTAGACGTGCTAAAACACTGCCATTAGTTATCATTTTGGAAGACTGAACTACTCGATCGAGACTGTAAAAGATTTCTGCTCCCCTGTTAAATGTCCTCACATCAAAAAAGCTTGACCTGGGGCAGTGATTGCTCATTGTTGTCATGGTAGCAGTCGACGTAGACTTGAGTAAGTGTGGCGTCAGTAAAAGGTCTGATCTATAACCTGCTGTTACACTCAGAAATAAACAAGACTGACAGATGGATAGTTAGTTTCCTAGAAAAACAGGAAAAATATGGAGCTGCCACTAGCCTTTCTTTGGTTACGTAATGCAAAAACTAGCAGACCTTTACAAGCTTTCAAACCATAAAGATTGTTAAGCTTTTATCCAGGGCAGCCATGAATCTTTGTCTTTGAAATACACATTTACCAATAAAAAAACCCCCATAAAAATAAATCATTAAGTATCACCAGTCACATGCATGCAAGAACTTGCACCACACAGTGTAACTATCTTTGACCCATGTACACAATGAAATCAACCTGTGCAGCTGCATGTTTAAGATATTTGCTTCAGTACAAAAGGCTGTACCAGCAGAACACTTCAGAAAGACGCTTAATCATCTTCATATACAGAGATGAGCGGTTTAGGCTAATGTTAACAACAAATAGTGGATGGATGTCACATGTGCAGCTTTCTTTTTTACTTCCTTAATGTTCCAATGATGCTTTAAGCCTGTTTCAAGTGTGTAGCAGCAAAACGAGATTAATTTGTTGCCTTAACCTTAAGTTATTATAAGTTTCCCTGTTGTTTACGGAATCTTTTCAGGTCATTCACTTAGAGTTTACAGTACACTTGTGGAAATTGTGAAGATAAAAATCAAGAGGCTAGCCCGTCTGTGTGATAAGTCTGCTGGAATGGAAAGATAAGTTTAATGAGAGATGGCTGGACGTGGCGTTAACAAGAAACTTTTATTTCCTTTTTTCATTTTGACTTATTGTTCATTTCAACCAGTTAACACAAAAATCATATTTTCATATTTATTATGGGTGTGCTTTAAACATTCCAATCTACACCTCATATAAAATGATAATAAAGGTCTCAAAATGTCTTGTGAAACTTTTGTACTTGCAGACACCGGATGCACACTTTACCACTACTGTTAGTACCTTTATCAGTCTGTAACAGGCTAATAAAGCTTTCTGGTCATTAAAGATTGTACAGAAGTGTTTAGAAATGGGAACAAAGGGCAACGTGAGGATGTTTCAAAATCAGTAATAACAATGGGTGATGGACAAAGGAAATGGTTCATATGAAAGGAAGCTCTGAGTCACTCCAGTCCTGGAAATGAAGCGTGCTCAGTCAACATATGACTCATGATGAGATGTCATAGAGCAAACAGCCAAATACAAATAACCGATGATGTCGTTTCTTCCTTATAGGCAAGTCTGCGGACTCCTGAACTCACCTGGGAGAGAGTGCGCTCTCAGGTGGACCACGTAATCTGGCCTGATGGAAAGAGGATAGTCCTGCTGGCAGAGGTAAACACACCCAGCCACGCGTCTTCCTTCTAATCCTGGTGTCTAATTGGCATCAGTTCAGTCCGGGGTACAACAACAGGCAACTAGACATTTTTGGTGTGATGATGTTGATAATATGTCCATATTTAAATAAATGGTTGCCATAAAGTGATTCATGGTGCTGCGATACAAAAACACAATGTAAAATCCTAGAAGAAAACTTTTACTTCATTTAGAGAGCTGGATATTCCACTTTTCATTCTTTCATTCTCTTAAGCACCTCTTTGTGTAACTGGAAGTCAGGAGTTCTTTTGTAAGACAGAGAGCCCCCTAGCTAGTGCTGTTCTGCATTACTTTGTATGTAGACTGTAACTGACAGGCAAACAGCCGCTCAAACAGAGCAGTACATAATGCATTAATGTTAGCAGGCAAAATAATCGAATGACGTGTCCAAATTTATGCCTAAAACACCAAGTTGTCTGTGTTCAGACAGCAGAACCATGTGAATGCTTTCTTCTGCTTTGATACCACAAATATCCCCGTAAGGTTTGTCATCAGAGTCACAAACTGTATTGGGTTTATGGCCATTTAAAGAGCACTTTGTAAAATGGGCCCACTGCCATGACAATGTTTAAGAAAATAATTTTAAAGGATTAAATACAGTAGACGTTTACACAGACGATGTTTAACCACATCCGTTAAATTATCTTCAAGTTCGACTGCTTTCAGGGCATATTCTTGCTTTTAGGCGAGTTTATTCATCCTATTTTCTCCTCTGATTTAATCACTTTGGAAACCTCTTTGGCAGAGTTATCCTCTCATATTTAATAATTGGTTGATTAATCATCATTTAAAATATTATTTTGTAATGTAGTGCAAGTTGTTATGGAATAAACACATAAACAGGACACTTACCCTGCAAACTTTTTTGCAACTTTACTTGCAGTAATATGCACACACTCACCCCCTGATCATGAATATTTTAGGATAAGATGAGGTGTGTGTGCGTATGTGACAGAATGAGAGCAGTCCAACAGGGCCAGACAGGCAAACTGCCAGCCTGTCAATGCCTGCCTCTCTGAGGCTGTTTGATCTGCAGAAGTTTTAACCACATCAGTAGATTTGCGCCTCCATCCTCACCTCACCTGCCTCCAGATCACTCTGTTCTGATCCTTAAAATAGAGCAGTGCTCCAAAAATGCCATTCAGTTTAAATATACAAAACAACATCTGATCCTTTAGTATAGCTAACATTTGGATGTTTAAAGTTTATTTAAATTGTGGCTCTGTCCAAAAAAAGGAAGTTATTTTTTTGTTCCCTTTTTGTGTCCCAGTGTAATAATGCACACTCAGGCATTTATGTCATATTTATGAGCATTATTAAGCTGTAAGATGGTTCACAGACAGCTGCTTTATCATGTGAAAATGCACACAGCACTAGCGAGCAGTGCGTGTGTGTGAACTTCAGTGTGTACAGCAAATTAAACCCCTGTGTGGAGTTTCTGTTCTGCTTTCATCATCCAGCAACAACAGTTGAACGAGAGTCTGTTCCCCTCTCTTCGTGTAGCTTTTCAGTTTCAGAGGGATGGCCACTCGGTGCATAGTTAGCAACATCTGTCTTCATCAGTAAGCTAATGCACAGCAGTTTCATTCATTAACAGGACTGACTGCAGCGTTACACAGCTGATACACAGTCGATTTGTTGAGGGACACCGAGATCTGAGTTTATTGATTCCTTTTCATGATGCCGCCCAAAAGGTACATGTTTACACAAAGGCGCGAGCCTGCATGTGTATTTTTGACTTGTACTCTAACCTTGTGTTGTTGTTTTTGTTTTGTTTTTTCCCTCCTGTCCAGGGTCGTCTGCTGAACCTCAGCTGTTCCACTGTGCCCACTTTCGTTCTCTCAATCACTGCCACCACTCAGGTAAAGCTGTGGATCAATTTGTCTCATTTATATTGTCGCATATGTTTGGCTTGTTACACTTTGCATTGCTGCATTTGTGTGTGTGGATCTGTCCAGGCACTGGCACTGATAGAGCTCTACAATGCCCCTGAAGGACGGTACAAACAGGATGTTTACCTGCTGCCCAAGAAGATGGGTAAGAGTACCATCATTTCTGGATGTGTTAAAGTAGTGGATGTTTGTGTTAAACATTTCAAATAACGACTTTGGCATTCAAGTAATTTCAGTCAGGCTCTTAGGTTTTAGGCAAAAGCTCCACCAACTTGTTGTTCAAACCTTCTGTCTTCAAGGGGATGATGAAGATGAACTGCAGGGCTGTGCCTAACCCCAGTGTGAGATAAATACGAATTATTTTGGACTTTATCGTAGTAGTTTTTTATGATTTAGAGTCCACTTTGATATCAGAACACATAAAAACCTCTTGTGTAACAAATACCATCTACGTGGATGTACAGGATGTGATTACAGCATGTTAGAAGCCCTGCAGACAGACTACATTTATCTCTGCAGACAGACTCATCTGTTCAGTCCAGAGTCGTCTCCCCGGATAGCAAATCACTCACAGCAGAGTGAATCCTGTGTATCTGTAGACACATGTGTGCATGTCTGCCGCTTGTCACATCTCTGAGCCGTCTCTCAGAGGCTGAGAGCAGAGCGCACATATCGTAAAGAGAAAAACAAGGAGAAGAATGTAGGTCGGTCTGTAAGCAACTGCCACTGTTATCACAACACACACTGACACAGAGGTGGGAGAGGGCCGGGTTCGGATAAGGAAGAGAAGAATGAGGTCAGAGAAAGGGGAAAAAGGAAGACGGTTATCACTGCAGAAGAAAACAGCTGGGAAATCCTGCTACTTCCTGTTCTCATTTAAATGATTAATCAAACATGGACGCCTGGTGAATGTAAGCACGTTCTCTCTCTCTTGCCCTTCAGATGAGTATGTGGCCAGCCTGCATCTCCCAACATTTGATGCGCATCTTACAGAGCTGAGTGACGAGCAGGCCAAGTACCTGGGCTTAAACAAGAACGGGCCCTTTAAGCCAAATTACTACAGGTAAGCAAACACCTCAGCGCACTTGCACTGTTTTGAGTGGCTGACATATAATCCCGTAATTCAAATAATGATCCCGTGTGTATGTACTTGTTATTAAATTGACATAGTGTACCACACCCTCTTATTAAAGCTAAATCCTTTCAAAGACCCTGTTGAATACTGGTGGGTTTAGCTTTCTAATCAGCCTTTTCACCAAGCGACTTTAGGTCTGAATGTTAATGAGCTACAGCAGCCACCAGGCATGGCCACTATAGCCATGCTTTGTTTTGAGCAAGAGGTTAGTTATCTTGGGAGATTAATACATGCAGGTGTTTTGTCTACCAGCTCCATATAGACTCAGAACCTAAACTTCTGTGTCGCACTTACTGTTCAGGTCATGGTCCATTTCAACGTAAACACAAATTTGCAAGTAAAGAGCAGCGTCGCTGGACTGATGCTGTGCAGTAGTGATGTGTGATACGGTATCCGCCCAATGCGACGAAAATGCAGAGCCAGTATTCCTGATACAAAGTAAAGATACTGGTATTTTTGACTTATAATGGGATCTTATGTTGAGGATAGCTGTGTGACATTAATAAGAGATGAATCATCATCATGACTGAAACATTACGTTCACTGGATCTGTCTGAAGGCATTTCTTCCTCCTCATTGTTTCTTTTGCTGCTCATTCCAGGAAGAAGCTGTTTCTGTTTTGTGATCTTTCATGTATTCAAATAAGTTGGTGGTGTTGCCAAAGTAGAGAATTTCCCTTCAACACGCATCACTGCTTGCAGTGTTTTCATTTACCACCTACTAAATACAGCAGAGTAGGGAGGAGGGGGCGGAGCCAAGTGTGTCCATATGGAGTGCATTGGGCTTATAGGAGACAAACAAAAGCATCACTCCTATCCTGGTAGTATTAGCCACTGCTAATACCAGCATTGCTGTGGACGCTATCACAATTTCAAATGTGCAAATTTCAACACTCACATCCCGTCACATCTTCACAAATGTATATCAAATTAAAAGAAGACAAAAAATATGGAGACGTCATTTTAAAGTTTTGAGGATAATAATCCAGATCAAGGGGTTCGATAAATGTAGTTTTGGTGTATGGATGCAGTCTCAGGCTGCTGTGGATGGACATTTGTTAAACCATTAGGTGAGGCCATGGTTACAGCAATGCCTGTCTGTCAGCCTGAAGGAGCTGCTTCACTAGACTCTCCTCGTCTGTGCAGAACTGTAATGAAAAGCATCAGATTAACAACAAAGTTTGGTTTTTAGATATATTTGGGTATATATTATCATTTAAATTTGCATTTGGTTTATCCAAAATGATTTTGATTTCTTCCTTTGACACCTGTACATCAGTTTAACCTGCTTGTTTCCGCCACAGTCAGTTCAGTTGCTCCGACAGCTGCTAACATGTATGTTCTTTGTTTTTAAGGTATTAGCCAAGTATTGTGGGAAGAAGAACTCCGTGAATCATACAGACTGGTAGCGGAGGACAGGAGGGAGGACACAACAGCCAATACACCTGCTTTATATGTAAGGGAGAAGGGGGCGGAGCTCTGAATGAGCCTGCAGGGTGGGGGAGGGGAGGGGCGTGGCTTTCCCTGCTTATGGCAGTCGTTTTATTTATCCCCCGCCTGATAACAGTAATAATAACAATAATAACATTAACTACACCTCGGAGCTGCTCCTGCCATTGACCTCGAGCTAGCTCCCAAACCCCGTCTCCCGCTCACTCGTCATTTCCACCCGGTCCTCTTCAGACGCTCATTTGTATGTCGAGTCGTATGTAAACCTCCATCCTCCCTTCCACGTTGCCAGATCTTTTATCGTTTATCTGTTAAATATGAAATTACTGAAGCTAAAGATATATACTATATTAAAAAAAAATCTTGATTTAAAAAAACAAAAAAACTGTGTGAATGAAGACCACCTTTGAAGATTTATCTTGTGTCGGACAATTTTTCCTGTCCCTTATTTTTGTCGTCTTTTCTTTTCTACTTGTGATTTTTTTTTTCTCTCTTTTTTTGTGTATTATTGGGGTGGGACGGGTGGGGCTAGACTGAGGGTTTAGGCGGGGGTCTCAGGGTCCAATCATATCGTTTTATTTGATTGCGATTTGTCTGTTTTTTAAGTTTTGTTTTTTTTTAGTACGCTCTTATGTCACTACGGGTCACCCTGTAGTTTTTCTTTCTTTCTTTGTTTTTTAAAACATGACTGGAGGGTGACCCCCGCCAGCCCCTCACCCAAACACCTGTCACTCAAACCCACAGTGAAACCATCTCATTCGCTGCTCTTCTTTCTCACCCGCTCTAGCGACGCCAGTGTTGAAGTAATGAAAAGTATTTTTATTTGGTCCTTCACTTAAACAAGAATACTGTAGTAAAAGCATGGCAGGCTTTTGGATCATCACGAGGGTATACTGTGTATTTAGATGTTTATAAAGAAAAGATTTTTCTATCTTTCGTTTATTTCCTCTCCTCTAATATCATTGCAGTATAATGTTCTAATGATGCGTGTAATAAATATACTCGAACTCTCGTTTTAAATACTGTGAGAAAATATTTACAGAAATACCAAACAGCAGCCACCCTGGTACGTAAAGGAGCAGCTCACCTCAAAAATCAAATGTAGTTAGTTTGTTTGTTTGTTTTCTTTCAAATGTAGGTTGTAGCTTTGTTTGGATCTGCCTTCTCTTGAACGTCATGGAACTAAAAAGCATTACCTTCTCTTCTGGTTCTTGGAGCATTAAAAAAAATCGATCTGAAACTAGGTAGCAGTGTCACTTTCGCAAAATTATGCTCCGGCTATTCAAGATAACGGAACAAAACTCCACCCAAATATTGTGAGCAGCTTCATGTAGGAACTGTTTCCTTCCTGCTGAATTACAACAACCCTCTCACTCATAACGCTTATTTTTGTGACAGGGTGTGGACACTAATGGGTGTCCCCCGTCCCCTGAGCTGTTTGTTTGGCTGATGTAGACAGAAGAAAGAAAATAGTTCCTACATGAAACCTCCAATAACAAGATGAGATTTTTACCCACACCCTGCTGGGCAGGCGGCGTAGACACCCAGGTTTGTGAATGTGATAACTCGAGAATGAAACGATGTATGATTTTTAACTTGATACCATAGTTGCATCTACTAGAAGGCCAACAGTATTTTTGAGTTAGCGCTTTAAGCAAAACCCCACTTACTTCCATTATATTTAAGAGAAGGCAGACGCCTCTACAGCATACATCTCTATCTGTGCAGTGTACATTGTGGCTAAAATAACACTAAATGCCAGGAAAATCTATTTAATAAATGACTGTGAGGTGAGCTGTCCCATTAAGCAGATTTCTTCTGTCAGGTCCTCAGTAAAACACATGGTGCTGTTAAGAATTACTGTATTTGCCATAATCAGATGACACAACTCTTTGGTACTCACAGATGAGTTGAGCTTACAAATGAAAGACGGCACGCACACGACATCTCTGACGTGCACTAGCCTTTCAGGTCCATTTCCGCCTTTTCTCCCACCCGGAAGGCGCTTTCTTTCTTTGTCTGTCTTTCTTATGGCTGTAATGAGCTGCACAGTCGCCATCCACTGCAGCTCGTCCCCAGCTGAGCTGACATTTGAAATTAGAAAAGCCCTGACAGTGATTTCACCTGAAGTGTACCCCGCCGCCACACCGGCTCTGCACCTGAACCGATCACAATCTCTTCTGGCGTGCTGCGAGACGCCGCCAGCTCTGCTTTCACACACTAGGATCAAACGCACACAGAGTGGCTCATTACCCAAGTCTGAAAGTTTACTGTATCGTACTAGATATGAAAGGTAACAGTAAAAGTTTTATTTTTTGAAAAGGTGGGAGTGGCACAAAAAAAACTTTGTTTACCAGTTGAATAAGTATGCTTTTGCAGGTCAGTTTAATCAAGTAGTTCAGGATTTATTTTGAAGGGTTCCTGAGAGGGCTTGTACTACCTATTTGACAAGGTTTCACGCATCTGTTGAAATTTTGGTCAAATAAATAAAATAAAACTGTTCCTTTTTTGTTTTAGGCAAAAATAAGAACAATATGGGAACCCTTTAGTCAAACTCCTATACTGAGTCCCTTTCATCCGTCTCTTCATGTTGTTGACTGCTTGTCTGTAGTACTTAAACCTTTTGTCTTAAGTCTTTTTTTCTTCCTTTTGTGCGCGCGTGTGTGAACGAGCGTGATGACGACGACGACGGTGCACATCTAAATGTCTCTCTGTATTTGTAAGCATCCTTTCTGTTTTGTAGGCCATAGTTGCTTTGTTACCAGCTGCCTCAGGATCCTAGCCTGTGTGTTAGGGGTGGAGAAACCGTTTTGTTTTTCCGTCAGCGCTCTGCTGACCGGGTAGGCGGGGGAAGACACCAGCATCATAGATGTATATACATACTATATGCAGATATGACAACCTTTAAAAGTATAGGAAGGTAAAAGAAGAATCGACACCTGTATTTATTGTTGTAAATCCTCATACTGTTCAAACTGACAAAAATTCAACATGTTTTAAGTTGTCTAATAAAGAAAAAATAAACCCTATGTTTAAATATTGCAAGTGATAATGTTAGATGATGAGCAATAATGACAAAATTCTGTAATCTGAATGAATAAAAAAATGGGGAAAAAAAGTTATTCCTTTGTGTGCTGCTTTATTTCTGCTACATTTAATACACAGTCACCCAGTGTGTTCACATACAGAGGGGTTTTTTTTTATGTCGCAGCCTGTGTTGTGTCATCGTGGATTGGTTTCTAGTTGTATTTATGTGCCGTGGAAGAAGACGACGCATGCAGCTGCTGAGGTCTGTCACAGCCACAGTGAGCTCATCTGAGCCAGCAGCAGTCAGACGGGGACATCTCTGACATCAGCTGAGCCGAGCTGGCTCTGAGCCTCTATTTATTCTAGAAACATTAGTCAAGTTTATGTGAGCAGATTACTTTAAATAGAATCGTATTGTATGTGTGTTACACTATAATCTATTTACATTCTATTTCAGCTTGTTTCTTTTGAAGCATTTAAAATGAGGTTTGGTTTGGGTGCTACAACAGTAATGTGTAAGCTTAGTTTCTTATATGAAGTGTCACTGTGACAAATCTGCAGTGTTTAAGGTGGAGGGAGAGGGTGGCCTGAAGTGGGCACAGCAGTGGAGCCAGACGGGTTTTATCAAGGTCACCAGACTGCCACCATTAATTTCACAGGGGTGGCTCTGAAACTCGCTGCTTCTTACTAACACTGCATTCATACACAATGAGGACTCATTATTAACATTTATTTAACCAACTATTTCCCAACCGGAGAATAGACATCAGTAGTTGCCAACTGGTCTCTAGGTTTGTTCACTGGAGCCTTATTCACGTAACCCTACAGCAAACAACTTAATGTTACATCTGTCATGTGAATAGATCCACCACTGTTGTCTGCTGCCATCTTTTACATACAGTCTGTAGTCAGGCCTTTTGAAGCTGCCTTGACCCACCTTTAAGAGAAATTAACCCTGATGATACCATTGGGATAGTTTTTAGACCAAACCTGAACTTTAGCCTGGAATTTATAACAGAAAATAGGAAACCTTGTCCTTGTGAAAACTGTCTGTAGGTACTTTGCAGTTTGTCTGCTACCATGAAACTAAACAGTTAATGTTTTTGATAAATCCAATTTGCCTTCCTAAAAGAAATCGTCCATCAACTGAAATCACATAAAATTCTGAAAGTGAGTCTACTTGAGTTACATTTAGACAAGTTCCCGCTGCTCCTCTGGCTTGCTCTAGAGTTCCTCACATCACTGTGTTTTTGTAGCTCCTGTGTTGTGTCTGCTGATCTTGGCCTGCGATGGATTTAACCACCAGTAAATTACTATTTAACCTTGAACTCTCTCACCTCCCCCACTGCCCTAGGCCATGTGGCACAAGCCTGCTCTGAACTGTTCACTCCAATCATGTCATCTTAAGTGGTTTTTCCACAGTCAGGGGGCTGTGTGTGTTTCAGTCTGCAGGACAATCCCCTCACAGCCACACATCAATAATTCACTGGGGAAAGTGACAGGAGGTGAAATGACAAATGAAGATGCACACACATGAAGTGATCTGCGACAGTGACATCACGGCTGACGGCAGACTGTGTGGAAGCTCAGCAAAGGGGATGCAGCAGTTATTTTTATAAGATGTAGGTGCTTCTAATACTTTGAGCCATTCAACCTCCACTTTAGTACACTGACATCGTTTTGGTTCCATGTGTCAGCTGATGCGACTCTATTTAACTCCGCCCTCTCGGTTCGAGCAGGGACAGCGAATCAAACATATCGGGGGGGGGGAGTCGCAACAGCAGCAGAAGGAGGAGGAGGAGATCCTCAACTTGGCTCTCCGGAGTCGGTCCCCCCCTCCTGACGCGGTGCAGTCTTGAGCTGTCCACCGGACCGGTATGCACTATCCGCGGAGGAGGAAGTGAGCGGAGCCGACCGTGAAAGATGCAGACGGAGGACATGGAGGTACCTATCATTAATAACCTTAACGATAACGGCGACAGACAGAGGCCGAAAGGGAAAGATGTGTTCAAGGATCAGCAGAAGGAGTCCGAGGTAAATTCAAGTACAGCACAGCGGGCTCCCACAGCTCCTGGTACAGGAGCGCACTGGACGGCTGTGTGTGCGTACGTGTGTGTATGTGTGTGTTGTTGCTGGGAAGCTTTCAGATCAGCTGAATGTCCTTTCCATGCAGCGAGTCGTCGTCTTTGCTCCAGAGCATGCATGCGGGCAGACGGCGAGGTGTTATTTTGGCAGCGGCTCCTATAAATAACCCAGCGGTCATCCTACAGCGGTGCGCAGCGTGGGGGACTGCAGGTGGTGAAATGTGACTGCTGCTCCCAGGACCACCGAACGTAACTGCATATCATATTTATGTCCTCGTGGTGTCCTTATGGCATCTGGAGTGCATCCTCCATTTAATCAATCAGAGAATCGGATCGGTTTTTGGCAGTCCGCCTGCCCCTCAGATGAGCATTTATTGGTTTTATTTGGTATCTTTGTGAAAGGAAGGATTTGGTTTAGTACGCTTTCTTGGAAACTGAAATAAAAGTGGCTGCCAGACAATAAAACATGTGCAAATTTAAAATCTTTGAGGTTTGAACTACAGTATGAGTGATATACTGGTGGCACAATAATAAGCCGATGCTGGCCTGTTATAAATTTAGAATTGTTTGGGATACATATGAATGCTTGGGGCGCGTCAGAGACCTAATTTGGATGCTACAGTCCCACTAAATGTACAGTTGTTTCCAGTCCCATACATATCACCAGCAGGTGCCCTCCTCTGCCTTCTAGCTAGCTCTGGAGGCTGTTATCGTCTAATGTAAACTGATAAAAACAGAGAGGCACAAATGATGAAAATATGTAGTCAGCGTAAACGTTGTGAGTTAGAAAGTTTAAATTTGTAATGCGTTTTATATAAATGAGATTGTATTTTAACTCAAAGTGAATCAATAAATTATCTCCCTACACTATTAGACCATAATTGCCTTCTGAATTATTGCTACACGTCAGGGTGGATCAATGCTTTCATGTCATTTGCACCAAATATCGATCCTGTTGCAAATCGAGACTCATCCAACCAGGCAATGTTTGTTTTTTTCCAATCTTCTGCCTGATTTTAGTGAGCTTGTGCAAATTGTACCCTCAGTTTCCTCTTCTTAACCGGAAGGAGTGGGACCCATTGTGCTCTTCTGCTGCTTCAGCAGCAAAGATGCTCTCCTGCACATATTGGTTGTAACAAGTGATCATTTGAGCTACCGTTGCCTTCCTTTCAGCTTGAAGCAGTCTTGCCATCGGAGAAATCCCAGTAGATTATCACCTTTCTTCCCCCATTCTGATGCTCAGTTTGAATTTCCGCAGGCCGACTTGACTGCATCTACATGCCTAAATGTATTGACTTGTTGCCACATAACTGGATGATTAGTTATTTGCATAAACAAGCTGTTGAACAGGTATACTTAATGAAGTAGCTAGCAAGTGTATGTAAATAGAATATTGAGTAATATGTTGATATTAGAGCCTTTTTACTGTCTAAGAATTTGTACCTGCAAATCCAGTGAGTTTGTGTTTGAACTGCTGGGTGTACATTGGAATCAGCCAATAAATCTTTTTTTTTTTTTTTTACATCATTGCAGTATCCTTTTTTTGATAAAACAGACTGAGGCGGTCCCATAGGTCCGGTGTATAAGCATATTTTCTGTGGTTTAAAGAGTGTTTAGAGCCACCGTAGACTGCTTATGGGAGTCACCTTCTGTAATATGGACCTGTAAACTGTAATCTCCTCCGCTATTTCTAAACTTGACTGGCGAGGCTTGTTGTTAAGGCTCCCTCAGTGCTCAGCAGCTATAATTCATCCTCCTCATGAAAAAATTACTAGATGATGGGCTTCATTGGTGGGGTTACTCGGTCCAGATACATAAGAGATGTTACTCAGAGTGCGTTGAAGCCGAAACCATTCAGAGTGCTTTGAAAGAGGACGCTGAATGTTTTTTGGGGGAACTAGAGCATATTCATCATACGGTCAATGGATTGTGGGATAGGGGGTTGGGGGTGAATAAATGAGGTTCCCTGGCCTCTACAGTTGAACCAGGAATCTCAAACCTTACTCAGTCGTGTACGTGACTTTGTCTTGCTGGCTGGAGTGGTCATCGGTTGTCCATGTTGGCATATGTTGGTAGGAGAGGGGGCGTTCAGCCTTGACACTGCGCCCGGTGTTTGCACGCTGATGCGGTGTAGAGCGTGCAAACACAGGAGCCGTGCCAGTTCAGTTTGGAGCCGTGGCAATTTTGGTTATCAGCTGGCGGCAAAGAGAAGAGGAATGGTAAACGAGAGTGAATGGGGAAAAATGAAGGAGTGGAAGAGAGAGACTGGGTAATTGTAAGGAGAAATGTAAGAGTAGCAGCAGACGAAGAAGAGAGAGGAGAGGCATGAGAATTAAAGAGAAACATAAAGAGACATGTCATTTCGGTTTGGGCAGAGGAGTTAACTTCAGTTTCAGGGATGCCAATGGAGGACTGAGGGACTAAGAGACTCAGTAATATAATCTATTTAAGTAATTTATCAAGGCTAATTAAGCCTAAGTGAAAGTGTTAAAGGCCTTGAAAACACGTCGCCTCAATCACTTTTACTTTCAGGAGTGGGCTCTTGCATGGTCACACAATTTTCAGTGTAAGCTAAACAGTTTGGGTTGTTCTTGAATTTTTGTTTAGTCTTCTGCATAAAACTAATCGACTAAGAAAACTAGTAATCCTTGGAATTTTATGCATTGTTTAATTATTAATGATGAATAATGTTAATAAAGGATGGTTTTAGCTGTAATATTATAGTAGCTACTAATCAGATGAAGTTCACTTGATAAAAGTTGCCTGACAAAATTGTTTGTTCTGAAACATGTGTTTGTAATGCATGAAGTTAAAGAGAAGACCAAAAATAAGAACAAGTCCAAAGTAGGAATGTCACACTATCAGAAATGTTGTTGTTGGTACTAGTACCAGCATTACTTACCTTAAAGCTATAAGTTAGATTTAGAGCCTAATAGACATGGGAGTTTTAAGACGAATACCATGCCGATAATTGACGAAAATTCGATATTTCGGCCAATGTTTTTTTCTGCTTTCAGACACAAAAAACATAAACATACTTCTCTAATATTTGTTATGTGCATTTATTTATAAGTCTTTGGATTCTTTAATTATCTTGGACCTTAAAAAACAATGATTTCATTGTCAAAGATTACTCCTTTACCTTCCAAACATATGTTTGAAATAGGGAAGTTGCCCCCTGGTGGACAAAATGTGCAACAGCAACACTCATTTCTCCCATCTATTCTTTACTTTTGGCCGAGCTCTAGTTAGGGTCTTGTGATGACACTAATTTCTGTCCTCTGCTCTCCTGGGCTTTCTGTTGTGTATGTTTTATCATGTGGGCTTGTCTGTGTGTAAAGCGCTTTCTCACATACACTAACCAGAGTGTGGTAATGTGAAGACATTAATACTCAAGGTGTAGATGACTCTGTAAATTACTGTGAGTGCCGTAATTCCTCCCCGGCAAGTGTTAATCCGTCTAAAATGACGATATGGCTCGTTTTCATAACTGTCCCTGGAAAATAAAACCCTTACCACTGTCACCAACATCCCCCTAGCTTTGGTTCACCCGCCCCCTTCAAAAACAGACAGCCAAGGATAAACACTGCAGAGCCTCCCTTCTGCTGCTTTAAGGGTCACGATAAGCATTTTCCTTCAATCATTCTGACTCCCAAGTGGTTTTCATTTCCTGGTTTATAAATGCAGTAATGACATCAAATTGTGTTGCTCAGGCTCTCGGTCATAAACAAACTGCCATCTGATGTCCTGCATATTCTACTTCCTGCTGACTTGGTTGCAGCAGGTATTTATAGGAGACATGGCAGCACACAGTTATTTAACCAGGATGCCTGACTCAGAGAGCAGATCCTTATTTACAGTCCTGGACCGGTCCCCAGGGCGGTTTGCACAGGGTTAAACACGGCTCACACCCTTAGCCTGAAGCTAAGTGCTGCCAGGAGCGTTTCTTAATTCTCATTAGCATAACATGAATCTTTTATAATCCCTGTAGAGAAATTTCACTTCACGTTATTATCAAGCACAACCCTTTCACCACTTTGTTCCTACCCTTACAAGGTTTTAAAAGCCTCTCTGTATGGCTGCATGCTACTTACTGTGCAGTGTGTCTTGGTGCAAGTTAGTAAGGTGTCATTATGTGTACTGTGCATCCTGTTTCCCTGCAAATGAATTTGTTTCAAAAGGACAGTGACTGCAGGCCTTTCTGCGAGCTTATCTGCCCATCTCCCTCTGTTGTGTGCGTGCGATTACATGCTTACCCTCCCAACTTTGGTTTTACTTGTTTAGATCTTGAGAAAGGCTTCATAAAATGCATTCATAATTTATTAGGTCTGTCTTGGTCAGTAAGCTAGCTAGACAAAAGAGTCTGAGGCTGCTGGGGGTGTTGTTAGTTTGGCGAGATCTCGGACAAAGTTACATTTTTCAGTTGTCTTGCCCTAAGGTTACGCTCTAAATATGACTGTGTGTGTGCGCGGGTGCGTGGATCACATACTGTTCACACGCTCACAGATTTTGAGTGTTGCGATTGCGTGAAACATGGAAAATGTGTGCAGCCTGTCTCGTGGGTATTTATAAATCACAGGGTGAGGCTAATGTCAGAGCTTAGAGAGACCTTTTCCTGGATACAGTGGATAATCTGCTTTGATATGGGGGTGGGGGCATGTTGACTCCTGTGCCTTCTCTTTCCTCTTGTTCTGGTGCTGGCTAGGGAAAGCCTTCTCTGACTGTTCAATTAGGCTGATTAAAGCAGTAGCTGTGTGCGTCCATAGAGAGCACCTGTAGCCATGAGTGAGTGGCTCTGCGTAAGAGGATCTCAGAGGAAAGATGTAAATGACTAATCAGCACTGCCTGAAAAAACAGCCACCAGTAAAAAGCCATGGTGTGTGTGTGGGTGATGTGTGTATGGATGTGAGTGCAAACAGAGTACATAGTAATTGTAGGTGTTGGGATATGTAAATATCCCACAGTATGTTTTTGCATCTATTTCAATGTCTGTGGGCGTTTGGGGAAACTGTGATTAACTGAATTCAGCTACATTATGTATGCTAATGTGTGTTTTGCTCTTGCAGAGCTCCATGGAGTCTCCAAACCTGGAGTTTGAGTACGGCGACACGGACACACTGACTGCTGAGCTCTCTGGTAAGACCACAGACCGTCATCCGTTGGCTTTGGACTTTGTATTCGAAGCCTCAGAATGACCATTTTGACCACCGCTGCGCTTTTGTGGCCGTATTTGAATGACAGGTGCGAAGTTTCACCCATCAAAAATGGAGCACAGCCATCTGGATGGTCAGTACCACACAGCGGGCCATATTACTCGTCAAACGATTCCAATAAAATTACTTTAACAGCCACCAAAAGCGAAAACACGATGCAGGTGCAGATCAGCGACTCGATTGACAATCTGTGTTGGGACACCTGTCAGTCGAAAAGCTGCCAGAGCAGACTTACAGTCATGTGAAAAAGGAACATTTTCACAGGGCTCGATGCAGTGCTGTGCATCTAGTCTGTGCATAATAAATATTCTCCATTGGGGAGGAATTTTGGCTCACTCTTCTTTACACCGTTGCTTCTGTTGATTAAGAGTCACTGACGTTCATTTATACAAAGCTCTCTTAGGGTCCCACTGCAGCATTTCAGTCGAATTGAGGTTTTGACCGGGCCACTGCAGTCATTCTTTGATTCTTTTCTTTTCTTTTTCAGCCTTTCCCTTTGTAGATTTGCTGGATTGTTTTGGAACATTATCCTGCTGTATTTCTCAATTTTAGCCAAGCTTTAGCTGTCAGACAGATAGCCTCACATTTGACTCAGATATGGACTCAAATGTGAAGGCCATTTGAGTACAGTTATGTTTAGAATACAAGTTTGAGATGATCTGAGCTTTGTGACATGGCGCAGAACATCAGAACATGGCTAAACAATATTGGAATATGCTTTCACATTTAAAAGATACTTTGTCGGTACTAAGAGATCCAAGATATGCCAAGAAAATATCCCCCAATTTTTAAGCCCAAACCAACCTATACAGAGGACTTTGCGGTTGATCTGTCTGCAAGGTACCCAGGTCCTGTGGCTGCAAAACAAACCCAAATCATCACCCCTTCACCACCATGCTTTATAGTTGGTATCAGATGTTTACCCTAATATGCTGCGTGTGCTTTCCATCAAACATGGTGCTGTGTCTATTACAGTCAAATGTCACCTCAAACACTTTATGTTGTAAGGCAAACACCCTACAATGATACAGAGAAAACCCCAGCCGTGAGACAACCACCTCTGAGTAAGTACTTTGGTGACAGTGGGAAGGTAAAACTCCCTTTTAACAGGAAGAAACTTCCAGCAGAACCAGGATCAGGGAGGGGCAGCTGTCAGCTGCAACCGATTTGTTCAGATGCAACTTTGCAAATCTAGTGTTGAATAGCAGGACCTGGCTGCTACTTTTTCTCCTAATTCTTATGGAAGCAGTGAGTGTGGACTGTATAGACTGCTGTGAAAACTTTCTCATGACTGCAGATCAAAGATCTATGTCTGCTTGTTATGCATGACAGAGCTCTTCGCCCACAGAATTCCTACGGTGACACCCCTGTTTCTACTTAGCATAGGAACGAGAATGTGCCATTGATTTGAAAAATAAATCAAACATCCACATTCCTCAGGATCCTTTCAGCTGTTTTATGTTACACATGCAAACAAAGAGAGTCGGCGAGAACAGCGATGAAGGCGCAGAACAAAAATCTTTTGGTGCGTGCTGGTATTTTTTTTTTTTTTTTTTGCCACGCACAGAAAAAATGACTAACACTAATCATTAACACTGATTATTCATTCAGAACTGCAGCATCTGTGTAAGGTGGTAACAGCCTGTACTTGACTTGGAGCTTGGTTAATAATGTTCCTTTCAGGGCCGAGTACAAAAAGATTATTTAGAGAGCATATTATTTATTTTCTCCGATCCGACTGGTGTGCTGAGAGAAACGTTGAATAAGTGTGTCGATTTGAAGTCAGAATGATGGTCCACCTGGTAGATGGCAAACGGCAGCTGATTTGCCAAAAAGGTTAGTCACACACAAACGGGCAAGACAGTCACCGCGGCTTTCTGCCGACAGCTCCTCGGGGTAAGGGAATGACGACTGCTCCGAGAACAGGAGGAGACGCGTGACTGTGTGACGGATCTTTAGACTGCGCATGAAACAGACCGAAGAGGACAGCTGCTCAAAGCATCAGAGCATATAATAAACATCATACGGTTACAATAATGTGAATGTGAAGGGGATGCATACATACAAACCTGAATTTTCATTATTATATTATAACTTACGGCAGAAAATAATTCATCTCCTTAATTATATGCAGCATTTACAGTTTGTCATGTGCATGTGTGCTTTTTGTGTTGTGCATAGTGGGCTGCAAAGTCGTCCTATTTCATTCTGCTGGTCTTGATGTAGGTGTCTTATTATAAGTGTCGCTATAATATTGAAAGGCCCTTAAGCTCTGTAAAAAATCTGGGATTTCCGAGTTAAATTTGTTGTTTTTCGCTGTAGATGGAGGTCTATCTGTGTCTTGACCTCACCCGTCGAGCGTGGGCGGACGGATATTTTGCCAATTCATAATCTCTTTGGCTTTTAGTAGATTGCGGAATACGTTTTCTTTGCACTGCATTGTTATTTGGGTTATTTTAATCGGTGTTTGCACAGCACTGTTGTTGTGATGCTCTTGGTTTTGCAGGGCTTTGGAATGAAGGTTGTTTAGAGAGATAGATGCAGAGTGATTTTAAGAAAAAAATCTGAATTTTTGCATGCTTGTTAGTGGATCTGCATAAATCCTTATTTACATGCATACAGCTGTGGTTACTGAGTAATGTGCTACTTTATTAGTTACACCTTGGACTTAATGGACTTAATTCTTAGTGGCGTCAATTCAACAAGATGTTGCACTTTCACCACCACATCCTCACTGTGCTCTTTTCTATTGAGTGACATTTAAATGCCCACACCGCCATCACCATAAGCCTGAACCATTGACATAAGGCATGATGGATCCTATCAGATTCATGACAAATTTTGACTCTACATCCAAATATCGTAGTAGAATTTGAGTGTTTTTTTCAGTCTTCTGTTGTCCAATATTGTTGAGCCTATGGTAATTTTAGTGTCTTCTTAGATGAAAGGAGTGACACCTGGTATGGTCTCCTGCTGTAGCTCATCTGCTTCAAGGTTCCATGTGTTCAGAGATGCTCTTCTGCATACTTTGTTTGTATTGATTAATTATCTGAGTCACTGTTGCTTTCCTATCAGTTCAAAACAGTCTGACATTCCTCCTCTGACCTCTTGCATCAACAATGCATTTTCTTCCAGAGAACAGCCGCTCACTGGATATTTTCTCTTTTTCAAGCCAATCTCTGTAAACCCGAGAGATGGTTGTGTGTGAAAATCCCATTAGATCAGCAGTTTCTGAAATACTCAGACCAGCTCATCATCCACATTCAAAGTCACTTAAATCACCTTTCTTCCCCATTCTGATGCTCACATTGTACATCCACAGTCATCCAGACTGTGTGTAATTCATTAAGTAAAAACCACGAAAAAATGCAGTGTCTGTTGGACTCTCATTCAGATCCATCCCTAGCTCTTTACAAACCTGTCAGACGCACGTCTCTGGGTGTGACTGTACTGGTCTATAATGGAGGGACATCTTATCATCACATTTATTTATATGTACATTATATGAAGCCGGAAATGAATTCAGACTTATGATAAACACGTCTTCAATTAATTCTTTGTCTCCAATGTTAACAGTAAATACATTTATTTAGTTAGAGCTTATACAAGTCTGCATTAGGCCAGACAGACTCAAAAACCTTCTGAAAATCAGTAAAATGTGAATTTCTTTTCTATCAAGGAAATCTAGGACTCTTGGGATACTACGGAATAATTCATCTGGACAACTGCTGATTGAAATACCACAGCATGGTTTGATTTATCCAAGCCTTTTGGAGCAGATGCCACAAAAACATCCCAGTTGCATTACAATATTGAACAGCTTCAACACTGCACAATGCAGTTTAGGGAGTGCTGGATTTGAGCATTTCATTTTTAGCCCTTAACTTTAAAAGCCTGATGGGGTACTGTCGTCAGTTCACCGGGCCGGCAGCATGGACGCACGCAAGTTTGTGAATGTGATAACTTAAGAGCAAGTTGACGTAGGAGCTTCAAGTTGATACCATAGGTATATCTACTAAAGATCTCGGGCGAGTTTGAATCTCGGTGAGCTCAACCTTAAAGTCAAGGTCAGAGGTCAGGTTTTCTCAAAATCTTTTGATTCGAGAACAAGGCGCTGTAGGATTTCGAATCCTCTGCTAGGAGGCTCATCTTTCTTCTGATGTATTCTTTTCATTCTCTTACTCTTGGGGAATTATTAGCGGGTTTAAATTGCTTCTCAAGCTCTAGAATTAACTGGAAATTGGTTTTCCATTACTGAGTGGGTTATAGTATTTATTTCATCCCTGATTGTATCCTGTTGTGTCCACAGAGCTCTACAGTTACACAGAAGAGCCAGAGTTTGCCCTCAACAGAGACTACTTCGAGGAGGACTTCAGAAGCCATGGTAGTGTGTGTGTGTGTGTGTGCGTGTGTGTGTGCGTGTGTGTGCGTGTGTGTGTGCGCGTGTGTGTGTGTGTGTGTGTGTGTCCCTTCAAGTTCCAGAATTACAAGATTGCACTTGCACACTAAAGGCTGTAAAAGCGACGTGTTCAATGAGCTGCTGTGGTTTACAACCTGACCGGTGAGGTGAGGCGAGGGTGAGCAGACACATCAAAGCTCTGCTCTTTTAAGCTGTTCAAAGAATTGATATCCCTACAGATTGAAGGGGCCACCCTTAAAGCATGTGATTAACGTTTGGTTATCGAGAACAAAGTGGCTTTTCCAGTCTGTACGTCGGCGTTATTATCAGCCTGACAGTATCGAGCTTTAATACGGTGTTGCTTTATCTGCTTTTGTGTGGAAAATTGTATTAAATTACGTTTTTCCTGTTGAGCAAGAAGAAAAACTTTCTTCTTGATTTATTTTATTGTGACAAAGTCGGGTTTTCTGTATTGAGGGAGGTATTATTTTTAGGTTTAGGGCGTTACATCAAGTCCTGCAGAGACGGTGTCGAGGCGCCCTTTGTAGACAGTTTGAATCAGAAGTGAGTGGTCCTCGCCGTCTGTCACTTTCCCTCCATGCTGTGTGATGATGAATAGCAGAATTAGATGAGAGCTTCACTGTTTTATGGAGGAACAGAGGACAGAGCTGCCTGTTTGCATCACTGTCTTTCCATTAGTGTTTATATGTGCGGTTTCCTGTTTGACTCGTCCTTTTTGTGGACGTGTTAGTGTAGCATGTGAGAGCTCATCAATGTTTTATGCTGCTACCCTCCCAGTCACTCTCATGAATTACAGTTATTATCAAGGCACGTCTAATTGATGGTCTTTGCTGTTTAAAAAAAACGTTTTTTGTGATGTGTGCTGAAATTAGAACGTTTTTTGTGTGTTTTCCTTGCACAAGTGAGATGTGTTAAGTTGAAAGAGATCAGTGAGGATGCTTTACTCCTTAATGCTTATCACTGCCTGTCTAATCAACTGAAGAGTCTAAGAGTAGAAGATGGGAGGAAATAAATCCCATAGTCCTTGCTAGAGACTGAGACATTTCTGCAGTGCTGCTGTTTTTGTAGTTGTTTGAGGTGCACTCAGACTTAGTTTTTGCTAGTCTTAAAAGTAGTGTTTTTTTAAAGCATACATCAGGTTTCTCCTCATTGCTTTCAGCTATCTCCAAAGCTAATGCAGTGAGCCACAACATACAAGTCTGCCAAAATATCTGAATATAATGGATTCCCAGATGGCAGAACTAACAGCTACTTTTGCAGTTAGCTTAATTAATTGCATGCACGGCACAGTGCAGTAAAATTAAAGCTGGAAATTTGCACTTTAATCACATCTTAATTGTTTGATATGTAATCCACTGTGATGAAGAAAACTCCTAACGAGAACAGGAAATGATAAGTACCTCGTTTGTGCAACAGCCAATGAGAATCCTGGGTTTACGACATCCATGTTACTATAGGAAACGGCTTTAGTGCAGCACGTAGCAACTGCATCATTCCTTGACCGTAGCAAACCAAGGTACGAGGACTGTGTCATTATTATAAAATTATTTATTCTTGTTATTTTGAAAAATTAACTTCCCTGTAGATTCAGATTGTTTTCAAGTTTCTTTTCCTCACTTTTTCCTCACTTTTTCCTCCACTCGCATTAAAAAATGCTGCAAAGTGCATCAAAACTTTGAAAAAGTCGACACAGATACACTCGGAGTTCTCTAAGGCACAGAAAATTTTTTTTTTTTTTATCTGACTGCAACCTTGAACCTTTTGTTTCTGTGTCCTTTCTGCAGCTCGAGGCAGGCGGTGGATCGAGCTGACGGTGGAGGAGCAGAGGGCGTATGTAATGAGGCTGCTGGACGCGCTGGAGGTGACGGACAGGGACAAGAGGCTGAAGGTGGCCAGGGCCATCCTCTACCTGGCTCAGGGTGTGTGGGCTACACAAAATACAAGCCTTTTTCACAGCAGACATTTAGGTTTTAGAGGAAACGCACATGTCTTGCTGTTAATATTAACCATGGCTAAGTCTTCAACAAGGTCGTGACAGTGAGCCAGAATGCACAGCACCTGAAATAGAATGATTTCATTATTTACACCGGTCACTGCTATTCTGCCATCATTTGCTTCGAATAGTCATCACTTCTCGCCTTGTTTCTCCAGGAGTGTTTGATGAGTGTGACACAGAGGTGGATGTCCTCCACTGGTCCAGGCACAACATTTTCCTGCTGTACGACATGGGCATCTTCACAGCACTGCTGGAGCTGCTTAGCATGGAGATAGAGTGAGTAACACACCCTGGTTATAAATGTAACATTGTTCTTTATGCAGTGCTGCAGGGATGTTTCCAGGCTGGGTTGCGAAGCAATCCTGGGGGAGTAGATGCTCCATCGCCCTCCTCGCCCTTCTTGTGGATCGCCTCAGCTGCAATGCCCGTTTGGGTCCCCTTCGCTGGGGCGCCCCCGGCGGGTTGACTTAGAATGAGTGCAGACCAGGGGAATCCGACTGTTTAATTACTCTTACATGTTTCAGATCATCAGTTTTTAACATTAGACAAATATAAACTAGTAAATACAAAATGCAGTTTTGTAAATGATGATATCATTAATTGAGTGAAAATGCCAACCTCGTCTTGTGTGAAAAAGTAATTGCCTTGTAAACACAAATACAAGTTCACGTCTTAGTCTAACTCAGAATAAGTAAGGGAGAGAGGGGCTAGCATTCCCTGGGGATCAGAGAGAAAACAGAGAGAGAGAAGTGAGGAATATGCAGAGGCTGATGAAGATGGTCAGCCAGGCAGAGATGAAGCTGAAGCTGAACAGACAGATGGCTGTGATCTAATCATAAATCCAGTCCATCATTTGATGATGTGGTCAGTTAAAGATGACTAATGTATGCAAACTTGCCACTTTAGTTACATGGTCATATACAAATGTAATGATACTGGGAGCGCATTGTAACTGGATACATAGCACTACACCTCTGTTCTTCATTACTTCAGAGAGGCAGAGACACACAAAAGGCTGCTGAGGAGAGACTATAGGTAGCGCGCCGCCTGTAATCAACAGACCCCTTCAATGGGAACGTGGCGTGACAAAGGCTCCTTCAAGCCAGCTTTGCTGCTGCTGGTGTCAGCCTCAGTTGGGCTTCAGTGCTGCTTTGTTGTTACATAAGCTGCTGCGAGGCATCTTCAAGTTGCATAGAGCTGCAGAGCAGGGCGGTTTCAGCAAGACGAGCAGGAAAAACATGATGAAGTGTTAATCATACAGGTACAGGTAGTCTCACCTGCGATGTATTCAGAGACTGGCTTGCCACGTTCAGATAATCCACTAAAATCATGTAGCGTTTGTTCCCGCAGCAACAGCCAGGCGTGCAGCAGTGCGGTGAGGAAGCCTGCCATCTCTCTTGCAGACAGCACAGAGCTCAGGTAAGCAGCATAAAACCGATTCAACTTCCTGTCTGCTTCAGATCAGGAGGCCAATAAATACCGTTTAAAAATAACCAAAGTGCTTAACTTCATGCCATCTGGCCTAATCTGCAAAATGTAATTGTATTCGCTGACTGTTGTCCTCACATTCATTTTCACTCTACTTCTGCCTAATGAAATTGATTTTTTTTAACACAACAGGCCTTACACACAAACACATGAAATCATACGATTCACACACATACAGTAGCGCCGTCTGTGCGTTCCCTAGATGAACACTTACAAATAATTACAAGCTAGACGAGTGGATTTGCCCTTAATTACTGCCGCAGAACCGAAAGCCATTCTAGTCCTTTTGAACCGAGCGAGAAGCTTTGTTGAGCGAACAAAGCATTTAATGTACAAAACACCACCTGTATTGCATCAGATAATTACGAGGGAATGGCTGCATTATCCAGCCAGAGCTCGGAGATTATTTTCTCCTAAATGCACGAGCAATTTGCAAAACCAAGCGCTACTTGCTTATAATTTCCTCTGTTATATCAATGATTCTTGTACTTATAGGCCATTTAGGGCCATTGTATCTGGTCAGGGCAGCAGTTAAATGCATGCCACACACAGACAAATGCACACATAACCTCAATGTGTCCATGATGAGTTCTTTGGATGTTTCTTTTTCTCGCAGAGTCTTACTGAGCATCATGTACTTGATGGTGGAAACCATTAGAGTGCAAACAGAAGACGACCGACCTGAGTGGATAGCAGCCAGAGAGACCTTCAAGAATGAGCTCGGTGTGTGCGTGTGTGTTTATTCAGTATTTTGAAGTTGCATGAGTATATCTTTTCATTGGCTTTCATGCTGCATGTCATTTTATTCCATTTAAAAACATTGCCTTTGACACCCCCCTCCAGCTTCTCCTCTTTACAACGGAGAGCCCTTTGCTCTACTGCTTTTCACCATGGTGACCAAGTTCTGCAGCATGAACGCGCCACACTTCCCCATGAAGAAAGTACTACTGCTGCTGTGGAAAACAATACTGGTCAGTGTGTTACAGTCATGGTTGTTGCATGTAATGCAAATAAATCTATTTCTGTCAATGTCTGCATTTTTTTTTTGTTTTTTTAAATAAAACAAGTTTCACAAACACTCAGTGCCCACTTCATTATTTAGACCTTCCTGGTACCTGGTTGGGCCTTATTTTGCTTTCTTAGCTGTCTTAATAGTTTGTGGCATAGATTCAACAAGGTGCTGGAAATATTCCCCAGAGATTTTGGTCCATATTGACATGATGGCATCGCACAGTCGCTGTAAATTTGCTACTCTGTTGCATTGACATCTGGTTTTATGCTGCTGGAAGCAGCAGTCAGAGGATGGGTACACTGTGGCCATAAAGGCATGACAAGGTCAAAAACAGTACTGTGTCTTGTAGGCTGTGACGTTTAAATGATACAAAATTGCCACTGCGGGGCCCAAAGTGTGCCAAGAAAGTGTCCACAGTATTACACCAGCAGCAGCCAGAACGGTTGATACAAGGCAGGATGGATTCATGCTTTTATGTTGTTTACACCAGATTCTGACCCTGGCGTCAACAAGGCATTTTCTCCCAGAGAACTGCCAATCATTGGATAGTTTCCTTTTTTTTAATACAATTGTCAGATGGCTATGATGTGGAAAATCTGAAATATACACAGCCCATCTGACACTAACACCATGCCAGGTTCAGCCACTTGGATTGTCTTTCCTCACCATTCTGGTGCTCAGTTTGAACTCCAGCAGGTTGTGATGACCACGTCTACATGACTAAATACACTGAGTTGCTGCCATGTGATTGGTTGATTGGGGGGGAAGTCAAACAGGCTAATATTGCCCCATGATGGGAAGGTCGGGGGTTCGAATCCACTGAACGGCTACCCTGAGCAAGGTACCGTCCCTGCACACTGCTCCCTGGGCGCTGTACTGGTGGCTGCCCACTGGGTGAATGGGTTAAATGCAGAAGAGTTATTTCCCTATGGGGACTAACACATACACATTATTGTTTACAAAATTTATTCCGCTGTTAATAGACATTACTTAAACTTAGTTGCTAATGTTTGATAACAAATGAATCATTGTATACCTGGGTCTTTTCTGTCTTCCAGTTTACTTTGGGAGGTTTTGAGGAGCTCCAGGAGATGAAGGTGCGACACCGGGAGCGTCTCAACCTGCCCCCACTGCCAGAGGACAGCATCAAGGTGGTCAGGGCCATGAGAGCAGCCTCGCCCCCGGCCTCCGCCATGGAGCTCATCGAACAGCAACAGCAGCAGAAGAGAGGCCGCCGCAGCCGCAGGGTACTAGCCCTCAAGCACACACGGATCTCACACTGAAGCTAAATCCATTTAGACAACGTTTAGGTGACAGTGTCACTTTAGTGTATATTGCTGGCATGCTGTTATTAATACAAACTAATGTAATGTTGATCAGTTTCATCTATCTACCCTAGTAGACTCTCACACTCTAACTCTTTGCTGGGTCACCTTTTTCCAAAAGTTCCAACATCATCAGTTCCCTGCTGTAAGTCAGTGACCACAGATGATCTTGGTGCTCGGACAGCTTTGAGAATCCCAGCCTCTCTATTTTTTTTAATACTACAAGGTTTGACTGGACAGGCTTCCTCTTTAATTGCCCCTCTTCCTTCCTTGTGTCCCCACAGAGTGCCTTTGTTGATAGCTTGGAAGGAGACAGTCCTTTTCCCAAGAAGCAGGTCTTTACCCACAAGTTCCCTCTTATTCTCCTGCATTTTCTTTCTGCACTGAGCTAGACTTTTTGCACTCCTCTCCCACATCCCTGCAACCCGCCCCGTGCAAAATCTCCTCTCTCTGCCTCTTTGGCTTCCTTTTTCTCCTTCTACCTGCGTTTACTTTTCTCCTCTACGTGTCCTAACTGTTGCCATTTAAAACTCATCCAGTCCCGACCGGATGCACTGCACTTGTCAGATAATTTACCTGATTTAAATTGGAGTTTGAAGTTATCCACTGGGCAAACTCTTTAGTGTTTGAATAGATAATGGATTGGCAAAATTCTGATGTTATAGATGGTTTTGGTGCAGCCTTACATTCTGCCTAATTTCTAATACTCCATTTAATTGTTTCCAGCTTCATGCACATGTGTGTATTTCTTTTGCTTTCCTTTAAGTCTCCTGTTATTTTAATCATTTTTGCATGCTTCTGTTTTAATCCTCCAAGTGTCCCTCATTCCCTTCCCCTGCTTTGCTTTTCCATTTAGTCTTCTCCCCTCTTTTATTTGTGCTCATATTCCACTATTTTCCCCTCTTTTCGTTACTCTTTCTTCCTCCTCTTCCTCCTGGGGCGGCAGGGTTTGAGGGACAGGGCTGACTTGCTGGCTGTAATCACTGGCGCTGGAGCAGTCCCATAAAGAAAGCTCACTTCAGACATCAACAGTAGGAGCATCTCCCTTGTAGTTTTCATCACATTGCTACTGGGTTTGGTCTCAAAAATCACCTTGCACCGTAGAGTGTGGACTAGGGGTCAATGTCTTTAAAATGCATTCATTGAGGAGGTGAATTGAGCTCACCGCTACTGTAGTTTTACTTCTGCAGGTGCTGTATTGTAGGTTTCAGTTGACCTCTCTCTTAAATGGATGGCATTAAAAGCAGTTGCCCCCTAACCCTGGTAGAAAAAACCACTAGCTCTACCTCCCACATAGCAGAGAATGGCTTTTCCATAGAGAATGGCTCATGACACAGTCTCACCTTCTCCTCTCCCTCTTCCCACTCCCTCCCTCCCACCATACACTCACTATTAGTGCTCACTTAGCATTAGCGCTACCACTGATACACCAATACTGTACATCAACTCCAGTAGCTCAACTAATGCCCCGAACGCTGACTCATGCCTGATGCTTGCACTCTTACCACAATCATTCATTGTAGAAGTAGAAAACAACGATGCTTTGTGTGTGTGTGTGTGTGTGTATGTGTGTGTTTGGCACTTAAGAGTTCAATATGAACACTGTCTTTTTAAGACTGCCGCTTGCGTTTTTACCCGTTTCTTCAGATGTGTGGTGTGTGGTAAGTTCAATCAGACATGCTGCTTGTGGTGTTGTGGAAGTCTTTCTTCAATATATCACATTTGTTTCACAGGTTTTTGACAGGACACAGTAACCTAAGAGAGTTAAAAGAACATTTCAAGAAATCTGTTGCTTCAGTTTTTTATGCGGAATATCTGTTAGCTTAGCATAAAGACTTAAAGCATAATAAACATGTGTCTGTGTAGGTTTCCAGCCATCCAGCTTATTTCAGTCTCACGCTCTTGAGGTGAAGGCAACTGGACTTCATGTAGCAGGGGACTTTATCAAAGAGTGTTTGGTGGCTAAAATGAGACAAACTGCCTGTGCCTGACCGGCCTCAGTGAGGTTAAAGGAAAAATAGGATTCAGAAGTAAATAATAATGCAAAGGGCCGAATGCCTCCAGGTCTGGTGTAGCATGACGTGCAATTAAACAGCTAACCCAACTCTAAGCTAATGTTAAAAAACAAATAAATATCCTCCTATAAGGTTTTTTTATAGACTTTTTATTATTATTAAACATACCTTAGCTCTAAACCTCAATAATTTGCTTTAGGGGTGCTGGTTGACAGCTTAAATATCAATGACCAAAAAGCCCAAAGAAACAGTTAGCTTAGCTTTGCGTATTAGTATAGTATCAGTATTTGATAGTAGTATTTTGATAAAACAAACATAGTTCCCTCCAAACGTCAAAAAGACTGCTATTACTGCTTCTAATGTGTGTTAATTAGTGAGCTTTAAAGGTGTTTGCAGATGCTATAACGCTACATTTAATATGGAATGATGTCAATTACTTTCGTTTAGCTTCAAGGGGAAGCTGCCACCCTCTTTCTATTTAAAGGTTAAGAGGAAGGCTATCACTGCCTCAAAATAATGAAATTTGATATTAAGTGAGCAATAGAGGTGGAGATCCCTAAAGCTAGCCTCCTGTATACAGCTTCATATTTAAGTCACACACATATACACATCCACCCACACAGGTGTATTCATTCCTGTGTAATTAGACCACTTCACAGGTCTGTGTGGGTGTGTGCAGATATATTGCGGTTTGTTTTGCTGTTAAGAAGCTGTGCACATTTGTCATTCTCATTATTGTAACTGTGACATGTAAATCTCAACATGTATTGACTTCAGCTTCACTTGGGTCGTAATTAGCCTCTGTGCTAAGGTGATATGATGCATAATAGTGGAGTCAATCTTCTCCTCTGCTATCCTTTAGAACAGTATAAGATGTATTTCCCATTGAGGTACACTTACACACTTTTTTATGGCTGTGTGTTTTCAGTGTGACCAGTATGTGGTGCCTCACAAATACCTCCGTCAGCAGCTTTCTTTAATACTCCTCCTGCAGCAGGTTTGCTTCAGCTGTCCCTGAAGAGTCCTCACACTGAGGCTGCATTGCTATAAATTATATACTATAGGTCCAACTAATAACCACATATGGAACGCTTGAGCTGAAAGTGTGTAGTTTTTAGTATGCGTGTGAATTTTTTTGCACTTTAATTAAAACACATCGTCTTATGGAGTAAAAATGGTATCTGGCGCACTGCTTCCTGCAGTCTAGATAGAAGCACTTTAATTCCTTTTGCATGATTTTATATACATTTGCAGAGAAAAAGGTGCTTAAAGCTGATAAACTCACAGGTAAAGTTTATATGGTGGATTTTCAATCACTTCTTGGTTTTGCAGTGAAAACTGAAATTTATTATGTCTTAAAAATTTGGACGAGCTGCTAACTCCTTGGTTGCACAGTAGGTGCATATCTGACCTCCTTCCCCTCCTCTCCCCTCTGTCTCCCAGCCCCTGGTCAAGCAGGACAGCTTGGACACGTACAACGAGCGAGACCCCTTTAAGAACGACGACGCCCGGGACGAAGAGGAGGACCCTGAGGACACGGACAGTGGTATTGAGGGTGAGGTAGACCCTCTGGACCGCGACGTCATCATCCAACCGCCACCACCGCCACCTCCTCTAAGACCACCGACAGAGAGGGTCAACTTCCCCAAAGGTCTTCCTTGGGCCCCTAAAGTCAGGTTAATAAAAAAAATGTTGTTGCAATCTGTATTCCTAAAAGTCAGAAAGTTGTTCATGATATGACGTTTTATTCTACAAAGGTTCCAAAGGATTGGTTGGTTTGTTACCACGGTGACCACTGGGGTACAGGAAACTTCAGCTGGGACATGACGGGAAGGTGGTGTCTGTTTCCCACCCTGGTTTCGAGAAGTTAAAAGTAGATCTTAAACACAACCTCCTCCAGATTTCTCTCCTCGCCAACGTCCAACAATATGCTCTCCATCTGTGTATTTCAGACAGGAGCCTGGGTGTCTCTGCAGGGGGCTGCTGTTGAATAATACATCTCAGAGAAGACAAACACGTTATAGCAGTGCATCAGTTAAAGCCTTTTGTTTAACTGAGCCGTGTCACTGGGCGCTCTCGTTACTGTGTGTTTTTTCTTTTGTCAGAGCGCTGCATCACACAATGGTGATTAGACTCTGATCAGTAGGAGGTTCTTAACCCTTCTCACAGAGAGCAGCAGCAGCACACCGTGTGCCCGATGAGATTTGAGAGGGAGCTGATGCAGTACGCTGTGACCTTGTGTTGTGTGCGTTTATGTGGGTGTGTGCGCACATATTTGTGGCTTAAATCTCGCTTAAGTCTGCTCCTGTGTCTTCAGGGAGAAAGACATCGAGCACTTCCTCGAGACGAGTAGGAACAAGTTCATCGGTTTTACTCTGGGGAAGTAGGTACTTCATCTAAGACTGTTAAATATCTGTATTCATTCAGTTTTTGCCGACTTCTTCATTCGAGTGCTGTTCGTTACTTTACAGTGACACAGAAACCCTGGTGGGCTTACCCAGACCCATCCATGAGAGTGTCAAGACTCTTAAACAGGTGAGTGTGGGAATTACTGTGGGATTATTTTCTATGTTTTTGACTTAGTAAGTCATTCTTACACAAATTCACATTTCTAGATGCCCTTATCCACTTCCTTGTGGATATAGTCTCCGTTAATCAATACTCCCACACTGTTGAATCCCCTTGAAATTGGCCTCCCACTGAAAAATCCATAACGTCTTCATAGAACAGACTGATATGCTTAATCACACAGCTCTGGGTGTCAGCCGACGATGCTAATTAACAATTATTCTCATATGTTTTTGTTTTTTTCTCCAGCATAAGTACATGTCCATTGCTGAAGTGCAGATCAAAAGGGAAGAGGAGCTGCAGCAGTGTCCACTGACTCTGGTCAGCAATCCTACCAGACTTGTGTATAATATAGAATGTATTACAGGGAGCAGGCACAACTGTAATAATTTCTCCAAGCACGCCTGATTTCAGACTTATTAGGCTTATGCACCAGACACAGTAACCTCACAAATACATTAAAAATGAAGAAAGTACCATTCCCATCAAGCCAAACTCTTTGCCAGCTATACATATTTAAGGTTTAGAACTGCATCTTGCACAGTTGGCATAAGCGGTCCTTCAGATCTCTGTCCACTGATCAGCTACAGCCGTAAACCACCTGCCTGATACCGTGCTGGTGCCACGGCAACATCTCTGCTCCAGTGTTGTTGGAGCCTCCGTGTATCCGACGTGTTCCAGTGACTGCCGCGGGCGTTTACTTGACATATACAGTACATGAATCATAGGACCCCAGGCTTCCCAGCAGAAGGTTGCATCCTAAATGTCTGAGGTCCTCACCCAAACTCTGCGGGTGATAACAAACACCTGTGAATGTGATTCATGCTGCTAGTGTCCATGACCTTATCCCGTCAGTCACTACCCACAGCTTGTGACAGCAGGTGAACATAAATGAAAAATATATCTATATATACCGGAAATATATATATGCGTGATACTGCATAGATCTAATTCACATAACTGCAAAGTATTTAACCCCATGTTCAATGCTTATGTAGGTTAAGTTATGGTCCCAAAAAAAATCAACGCAAAAAGTTAAAACAACCAAAAAGCCAAAACAATGCCGGTTTTTGGAGCATCTCCAGGGCAGGTGAAGCCAGTAGGACCACAATGGCTGCAAGAAGGAATCATGTGATCCAGAGATCTGTTAATTCTCACCAATACAAAGACATTGTTCTGCCTGTGGACAGATGTTGTCAGCGCGGTAACATTAGAACTGTGTGAAATACAGTGGCTGATGTCAAACTTGAGCATGAACGTGAATATAGGTCTGGTTCAGCAACATTAACTCGATCGATTGGCTGTGATCACATCATGTGATTGGCTCTAATTTCCCCAATTCTGTCAGTGTTGAGCTTATATCTGCCTTTGTTCAGGTGTTTGAACTTAAATTTGGAAGAAAGATTCAAATGTTGCCATATTGAGCACTCAGTGTTGACTTTCCACTGTATGCACGTGTTATCTCCCAGGGTGAAGAGGAAGTGGAGGACACAGCAGCAGAGATGCTGTACCTGGGAATGCTTCCCAACCTGTCACAGTATGTGGTGAGTGATTAATGATTAAATTCTCACCGGAGTTATTGATCTTTGTTTAATAAAACCAGCTCATTAAATCTTTAATAGTCTAACACAGAGTCTCAGTGGTTAGCAACTGTCTCTGTACTGGTTTCAATCATATTTCTGATAGCACTTCGTGCTTCTTTTTTTTTTAGCTAGCATTAAATTATTGCACATTATCTCATATGAAATGTGTTTTGTGGAGGACAAAAAAGCTTACAAGATTTTTAAGAGGGTACTGTAGAAACTTGAATGATTAGCCTGTTATTATTCCTCTATTTTTGTGTTCTTTTTTGCATCAGATTGCCCTCCTGAAGCTACTGCTCGCAGCAGCTCCGACCTCCAAAGCCAAAACGGACTCCATCAACATCCTGGCTGATGTGCTGCCTGAGGAGATGCCGTAAGTACTGCAGAAAGACTGCTGGGATCCTTGACTGTCTTTCTTTTCTTTCCCCTACCCGTGCTGCTGTTTTTTTTTTTCTTTATTTTGTCATGATGCTGTAGATATCTAGAGCCATATTTAGATGAGACAGTTTTGAAGAGTAAACACACTTTTGCTAATAATGCTCAGTGATAATTAAAAAAAGATGCAGTGTGGAATAAAAAGAAAGAAATTCTCTCGGGAGCATCTTTGCACTGCTGTTTATGTACGATTTATTTTTATTTTTGTCTAATCACTTGGCAAGAAAAAAAAACAGCCTGCTTTTCTTATGGATTTTCTTGGCTGTTAGCACTGGTGGAAATGCACTACTTGTGGGTTGTTCGTGGTCTGTAGGATGGCTCTGTTTTAGATTCGCTGACACGCCAATGAAAGGAGAGACAGTTTTCCTGATGCAAAAACACCCACTCAGAAAAAAGAAAGATGTCTGATATTTTCATGGCTGAAATCCATTTCTTTTTTTTTTTTTTGGTGAGCATGTTTTGAAACTACGCACTCGCTCACCTGCCTGAGCTGGCAGCAGAGCCATCAGAAGGCCATACAGGGTGCCTGGGTTCAAGTCTGCCCCAGTTTGTTTCCTGCGCGTCTTCCAGTTCTGTCCTGGCTAAAAAAAAAGTTTTTTAAAAAGCCCAAAATAAATCTTATTCGATCTCCTTCTGTGCCTGTCACTTTGTCAGAGAAGTGATTATACTGTTAAAGACCCAAAGGCCTTACAGTTACAGCGTGTGTTTCTTTTAGTATCACCGTCCTGCAGAGCATGAAGCTGGGAATCGATGTTAACCGGCACAAGGAAATCATCGTCAAGGCCATCTCTGCTCTGCTGCTCCTGCTCCTCAAGCACTTCAAACTCAACCATATCTATCAGGTTACACACACACACACAGACACCTTCACTGTGCCCTCCTACATACACCTTAACTTACTTTTCCTCCTCTTACATGTCACCTCTCTACCCTGATAAAATCCATACACCTCCCCCACTGTAACCTCCCCAGTCCTCCGCCTGATTAATCAGTCAAGTGTGCCATCACTTTCTCCATTTCATCCTCCTCCCCCCC